TTACCCATAAGGTTTATAAAGCCACGTGAAATCCATCAGCAAATGAGCCTTAGGCCTACTCACGAGGTGATTATTAGCCACGAGGGGAAAGGGAGAGGCCTATGGTCACTGTATTAGCCTTTGTTTTTGAAAGGGAGAAGGAGGGGAAAGGGGGGGGGGGAGAAGGGAAAGGGGAAGGAGAGGAAGAGAGGAGGTAGAGAGAGGGGAAGGAGAGGAAGAAAGGAGGTAGAGAGAGGGGAAGGAGAGGAAGAAAGGAGGTAGAGAGAGGGGAAGAAGATGAAGAAAGGAGGTAGGGAGAGGGGGAGAAGAGGAAGAAAGGAGGTAGAGAGAGGGGAAGAAGATGAAGAAAGGAGGTAGAGAGAGGGGAAGAAGATGAAGAAAGGAGGTAGGGGGAGGGGGAGAAGAGGAAGAAAGGAGGTAGAGAGAGGGGAAGAAGATGAAGAAAGGAGGTAGAGAGAGGGGAAGAAGAGGAAGAAAGGAGGTAGAGAAAGGGGAGGAGGGAAGAAAAGAGGAGGAAGGAGGTAGAGAGAGGGTGAGAGGGAAAAGGGGAGAGAGGAAGCAGGTAGAGAGAGGGGAAGAGGGAGAAAGAGAGGAGGAAGGAGGTAGAAAGAGAGAAAGAGGGGAGAGACGAGGGAGATAGGGAGAAGGGAAGAAGGGAGAAGAGAAGAGGAAGGAGGTGGAAGGGGTGTGAAGAGGGGAAAGAGGCAGGAGGGAGGAGGGATTAAAGGAGGAAGAGAAGAAAGATAACTGAGGAGATGGGGTGTGGTGGGGAGAGGAGATGAAGGAAAGAGGAAGGAGGAAGTGGAGAAGAGGAAAAGAAAAGGAGGGAGAAAGGAGAAGAAGGAAGGAAGGGTAAAAGGGAGACGGAGAAAAAGGAAGAAAGGAAGGAAGGAGAAAGTAGGAACGATAAAGATGGGGGAGAAAGGGGAAAGGAGAAGAGGAAAGGGAAGAGAAGGATTAAAGGGAGAAGAACGAAGAAGGGAGGGATAGGAAAGGAGATAAAAGAGGGGGAAAGGGGAGAAGGAGAAAAGACAAGTAATTTTAGAATATTTTGAGATAAAGAGGCTGTTTTTCTTCCTTATTTATTGTCTCTTAATTATGTATTGATGGTCATGACGGCTTAATAATTATACGTACATCTGCAATGTAATATATAATGATTAATATGAATATGTAAATATGGGGTAATATACTATATATATGTGTGTGCGTGTGTGTGCGTGTGTGTGCGTGTATGTGTGTGCATGTGTGTGCGTGTTTGTGTGTGTGTGTGTGTGTGTGTGTGTGAGTGCGTGTTTGTGTGTGTGTGTTTGTGTTTGTGTTTGTGTGTGTGTGTGCATGTATGTGTGTGTGCGTGCGTGTGCGTGTATGTGTTCGTGTGTGTGTGTGTGTGGCCTGCTCCATACTCCACACAGCAAGCATAGGCCTACTGAAAATACGGAGGGGTGGTATCGGGCGTGACCTCGATAGACCTATGAGGAAGGTCATTTATTTAGGCCTCAGAGTAAATGCCATGCTGCACGTAGGAAGGGGGGGGGGGAGAGGAGGAGGGAGGGGAAGATGGGGGAGAAGAGGGGTGGAAAGGGGGACAGGAGGGGGAGATGGGGGACAGGAAGGGGAGGGGAAGGGGAGAGGAGGGAGGGAAGGGGGAGGGGAAGGGGAGGGGAAGAAGGGGGGAGGAAGGGAGAGGAGGGAGGGAAGGGGGGGAGGAGGAGGAGGGGAGGAAGGGGAAGGGAGAAAGGCGGAGGGGAGGGGGGGATGGAGGGAGAAGAAGGAGAAAGAGAGAATTGAGAAAAGGGGGGAAGTGAGGACGATTGAGAGAGAGAGGAGGAAATAAGGGAAGGAAGAGAGGGAATGAGGGAATAGAGAAAGGAGAGAGGGAAAAGGAAAGGGGAAGAGAAAATTTAGGAGGAGAATAGGGAATTGGGAGACAGAAGAGAAGGGAGAATAAAGGAAGTGGGAAGTAGAAGGAGTGGGAACATAGGAGAGGAAAGGGGAGGGGGGAGGGGGGAGGGGGAGGGGGGAGGCGGTCGAGGGAAAGGAAATGGAAACTGAGAGGGAAAGGGGAGGGGTAGAAAGGGGGAGGGGACGGGGCAAGGGGGGAGGGGGAAGGGAAGAGATATGTGTTATTGCTTTGTATTTACGAGTCTCTTTTATTGCAGGTTAGTGTGTCTAGGGGTGGGGGAGGGATGAAGAGAGAGAGAGAGAAAGAGAGGAGAGAAAGAGAGAGAGAGAGAGAGAGAAAAATAGAAGAGAGAGAAGAGAGAGAGAGAGAGAGAGAGAGAGAGAGAGAGAGAGAGAGAGAGAGAGAGAGAGAGAGAGAGAGAGAGAGAGAGAGAGTGAGAGAATATATATATATATATATATATATATATATATATATATATATATATATAGAGAGAGAGAGAGAGAGAGAGAGAGAGAGAGAGAGAGAGAGAGAGAGAGAGAGTGAGAGAGAGAGAGAGAGAGAGAGAGAGTGAGAGAAAGATAGAGCGAGAGA